ATTATATACTCTCTCTCTCTCTCTCTCTCTCTCTCTCTCTCTCTCTCTCTCGTTATTATTATGGCATGAGTTAAATAGCATATCTTTAGATATTTATTTAAAAAATGTTAGTAACAGAGATTAATAAATTGTTAGAAATTATTGCATCTTAAGAAAGCTAAGAAAAATTCATATATCAATATATCTCTTTTCACAAATGATACGAAACTTGATTCAGAAGAGGAGAAGAAAGTCTTTTTGATTTGGATATTTCGTTTCAACGGTTTATTCGATACAATTCGTAACAATTCGTCACAATGATATCCGACAAATGACATTATTCACTAATATTGACAGATGACATCCATTTGTATTGACACACCGCGAGGAATAGTATCCAAAGTAATCAATAACTTGAGTGAGTAAAATCAATGTAAAAATAATAATTTTGTAATAACCAGTGTTATTTATTAATTATTTACTTTTTTGTCCAATAGTTTGTATTAATATACTTAATAATTTGCAAAATGGAATTTATGAAATATATACATAAATATATACATTGTACATGTAAAATTTTTAAATTATATAAAGCAACATTATCGATGCAAATTACCTATAATCCGAGCTTATATGTTATTCAACATCCAAAGTTTTAATATAATCTGTTAGGGTATACGATTAGTTAAGCTCTAAATGTTAGTTAGTTTACAGGACATGAATTATGTACCAGCATTTATTAATGATTCATTGCAATCTATGTTGGGAATTAGATCAAGGATGATCCTGCGGAAAATCAAGATAATAAGCTAATCTTTTTTGCGTATTAACATTTCTTATCGTGCGTACGTCATGAGAATCATAATAATGCGAGTTAAATGTACAGATTCACAAAGAACAGAGGATTAGGATAATTATGTTAGATGCTATGTTAACACACAAACAACTATGTATTGTACGCCGTCGATTTCAGGCGCATTGTTTCGAATCATGTTGAATTCATCACATCTTAATTTTCAACTCGTCTGTGTGTATGTGTGCGTATGTGCGCGCGCGCACATATAATATAATATAAATTAACTGCTATAATGAAATTATGTTCACAAAAAGGAGGAAAATGGGAAAAGCGGTTTAATTACTATCTCGTGTATAAGTACTTAAATTACTTTCTAACTTTCCAGAGACAGTGCTGTTCTTAATAGAAAATATAAAATTTTATAGGATATTACCCTGTGCGACTAATATATCAAAAGGCAAAGTGAAAGAATATAATGGACATTTTAATTTGATTACGAATCGATTGACCTATATATACCTGGAGTATGCTGAGAAGACGGCGCTCTTAAAAATATTTCTTCGCCTAAAATCATTTACGAAACTTATACAAAAACATTTCACGATTATATTTTTTACATAAGACAAAAGAGAAAAATATGATAGAAATTTGGCAATGCAAAATGTTGTTCAACCAACGCCTCGATAGTTACACTCTGATTGGAGCCAAAATCGATAGGAGGTCGCTTTAGAATGGCAGAGGAAGGTCATTCAAACAACTTGGGGGAAAATGGTCATACGAAATGACATGTTTGTCAGTTTGTGCATTCTTAGAAAATATTACGTCAATTTATTGTTAAAAGCTGAATTGTCAAATAATATCTGATATTTTCTATTTGAAATTTGATTGTATTAAATATTTCCGCTGTCGTATAGTTATAATTGAAATATATTTTACACATCTGTTCTCTTAGGTAATCATTTTTATTGCAATGTGATTATCTTATTCTTTCTTATATTGTAATTATCATAAGAAGAAAAGGAAGTTGAAAAATACATATTTTTAATGGTGACATTTCTGAATTACTTTAGAATTGTATATACAGTACGTGCGTGAGAGAGTTACGATATCATTCCGGGATGTCGTAAGCTAATATTTTTATTGCATGGAAAGTCGGCCACCCATTATTTCACGCTGGTTTCAAGAAATCAAAGTAAGTGCACCGCGAGAGGTACTTAAGTGGCTTAATACGTGGAGACCCTTTTTTATTTTTGCATTTCAAATGCCTCACCAACGTGATGGCGATGAGATTCGCGCGCGAGACCGCTAACATTAATACAGCCAATATTTCTATTTTATCGGGCACTTTCGTACGATGGGAATATTCGTTGTCTGAAAGAAAAAGGAAATAAATGATGAAAAGCAAATTACTGACGTAGCAATGGAGCAATATATAAAAGTGTATGTATCCGCGAAACGATACAAAGTTTGTGCTCGAATTAACGTGCAATTTATTTTTCATAGAACATAATATTTTTACCGCGGAAAATATCATAAATTACAATATTTATCCTTTAAAAAAGGTATAAAATTACATGCGCTTTTTATGCGCTTCTTCATTTTCGACAAGGCGTATAAATTACAATGTCGTATACATATATTTTATCACAACCTATGAACGTACTAGCTTCATCATTCTCCAACAAAGCATCTATGTAAAATTTCTTGAAAGATCATGCAAATATTCATTTCAAACATATTATAAGCAATTCCTTGCAAAATGACGATGTTGAGCCGCGGACATTCCGAAGGACATGCAGAAGCAGAGCTGCGCTTTCGTTACGATGCGTATCGACACAACACGATTCCACAAGTAGGAGGAAAACTGATTTCCGTCAATTTAACTAAGTAACGAAGTTTCTGTCGCGTCCATCCAATTCATCGAGTGAAATGGAGCCCCGTGTCGAATCGCTCGCCCGTCACCATAAAGCTTGTCTCCGACCGACATGCCATTCACGGTAACAATGATTAGTCACGAGCAACGATCGCATCTCCCGAAATCATGACGCAAATGCGTTTTTGCAATTTCCATTCGTCCTTGAGTATTTACGTGACGGAATTGCACGGATTAAAGTAAAGTATACGAACGTAACAATCCGGCGTAACAATCCGCCATATTGTGTCCTACTGTAATCTGCGAAATGTTGAACTATGTAATAGGTCGGACCGTCTGTTGAATGGCATAGTTTAATTACTTTTGGCGGCGCACTGGATGTTCGTGCTACTGCAGATTGCTCGAGTAACCCAGTTGCACCATTCCGTTAGTCAAATCCATTTGTGTATTATTATACAGAAATAATTGCAGTCTTTACGTTACATCTTAATGTTCGTTGCTCACAACTCTACAACCGTTCTAATTATTTAAAGAAATGTCGATATAGTTATTACATTTTATATGAGTATAATATTCCCCTTCTTTTTCCATCCTCGAAATAAACATTGTCGCAGGATACTTTGTTATATTTGTTATATCATTAAATATCTTTCTTTGCGGGCAGTCTCTTCTTAAGAGAAATCCAGCTTCTCATAAAGCACTCGTGTTTGTACTACAAAGCACAAAGGGATGCTATTCTCGAGAAAATAAAATGGTAAAGAAAAGAATTAATCTCGTACATGTCCCTGACGTAGAACGTATCTAACGTTTCTTTAATGAAGATTCAACAGCTTGGTAAGAACGAATGCCTCGTGGTTAACTAAGATATGAATGTCTTTCCGTTTTATGAAAATGACCGCGTAGTCTTATAAAGCTCACATTTTTAAACTCGACCGTCGCACGGTATTTTTAGCAGCTCTTTTTCGCAAAGAAAAGAATTCTTGTACATATTGCTGAACCAGCACATCCGAGAGTGTACACTCGAGGGAGACAATGTAACGACATGTGAACAATGTAATGACATTTGTGAAATAATGAACAAAGTTTCTGTAACATAAGGAAAAAAAAAGATTTTGCTGAAAAGAAACTTTATACATTCACCGAAAGAATACATCTCTAGATATAAAATAA